GGAGAATCAATTGAGCCCGGGAGTCAGAGGTTGAAGTGAGCCAAGATCATGCCACTGCACTCCAGCCTGGGGGACAGATCGAAAAGCAAGACCCTGTCTCAAAAAAAAAAGAAAGAGTTAAGCACAGTATCTAACACACTTTAAGTGTTAATGTTGTTAATCAGGATAATCATATTATATATATAAATCCACTTAAGTAAATCTAAGGGTAATTCCAAGGTGAGCTTGAGATAATATGTATCTTTTTTTTGTTTTGGAGGCGGAGTTTCGCTCTTGTCACCCAGGCTGGAGTGCAGTGGCTTGATCTTAGCTCACTGCAACTTCCACTTCCTGGGCTCAAGCAATTCTCCTGCCTCAGCCTCCAGAGCTGGGATTACAGGCTCCTGCCACCACGTCCAGCTAATTTTTGTAGTTTTAGTAGAGACGGGGTTTCACTGTGTTAACCAGGCTGGTCTCGAACTCCTGACTTCAGGTGATCCACCTGCCTCGGCCTCCCAAAGTGCTGGGATTACAGGCGGGAGCCACTGCACCTGGTGGGAATATGTATCTTTAACTTGTTTTTTTGGTCACTTTCCAGCTTTGCCTATGGCATTCTCCAGAAGAGCAGTGGCAGGAAGCCGTGGGTGGCGGGAATGGGTTTGGGACTGTTCCCTGTGCCAGCTTCAGCCCGTCTTCTCCTGACACCCCTTCCTCCTGTACTTATTTTTTCTCCTGTCCTTATTGACATGGATGTGTCTTCTGATCTCTCTGTCCTTCCTGGCCTGTAGCTTCTATGTCTCTTGGAGAACTGTTTTTTCTACCTCCTCCAGCCAGGCTCCTCCCCTGGTGCGAGGGACACTGTGCTCTTTGGTGGGGCTTAGGACCCTGTAAGAGGAGGGATATGAAGTGGGGTGGTTTGGAGTGGGTGTGGGGACCTGAGGCCTCATTCTCACCCTTGACAATGTACTGTGTTAAGGCCTGTGGAAAGGGGAGACCGGACAGTGCTTGGCTGTGAGCCATAGCTCCTTGGTGTGGTAGATGCCGTGCATAGAGAACAAGCTGTGACCAGCGTGTCCTCTTGTTACCTTCTGGCCTGGTAGCTTCCTGATGTACCATCCAGGTTGGACTTTATTCCCTGATTTTCACCAGCATTGCTCTTCCTCTTGACCCTGCTCTGCATCCATTGGGACCACTTCCTTCCCATCCCCACTTCGCTAGCTCCAGTCCACAGCTGTTGTAGCAGAGGATGCTAATTGCCCAGGCTCACTGTATGTGGTAGTGGTGGGGGATGGCCTGGGCTCAAGAATGGGGGAATTCTAGTGTTCAACCAGGACAGGAAGGGAAGTGCTGAGCTCTGAGATCTCCTCCCTTTTCCACCCCCAGCTGCCTCTGTTTCCTCCCTCATTCCCCTCTACTCTCGCCTGGCTTCCTGTCCCTTTTGGTCTGCCCGTGTCCGGTTTCCAGTGACCCACACCTCCTTTCCGTCTTATTTCTCCATCCTCTCCTCCCACCCCCCACTTTTCTCCTCCCCAGATTACTAGTTGTTTGTATAGGGCTGGGGAGAGTTCGAGGTTGGGGCAGGGTGGGGCTCAGCCCCTCTGAGCCTGTGAGTCAGCACTGTCCTCGGGATTGGTCTCTCTCCTTAGCTCCCCGCCCCCAGGGAGGAGCCAGGCAGCTCTGGGTCCAGCCTGTTCTCTTCTTAGCCAGAGAAGAGGCTCCACGTTGGGCGGGGATGGGGCCCGAAACTGTCTGGGTCTGAGCTGGGGAGCGGAAGCCACTTGTCCCTCTCCCTCCCCAGGACTTCTGTGACTCCTGGGCCACAGAGGTCCGACCAGGCTAAGGGCCTGGGGATACCCCCTGCCTGGCCCCCTTGCCCAAACTGGCAGGGGGGCCAGGCCGGGCAGCAGCCCCTCTCTCACCTCAGCTATGGATCTCCTGCCCCCCAAGCCCAAGTACAATCCACTCCGGAATGAGTCTCTGTCATCGCTGGAGGAGGGGGCTTCAGGGTCCACCCCCCCGGAGGAGCTGCCTTCCCCATCAGCCTCATCCCTGGGGCCCATCCTGCCTCCTCTGCCTGGGGACGATAGTCCCACTACCCTGTGCTCCTTCTTCCCGCGGATGAGCAACCTGAGGCTGGCCAACCCGGCTGGGGGGCGCCCCGGGCCTAAGGGGGAGCCAGGAAGGGCAGCCGATGATGGGGAGGGGATCGTAGGCGCAGCCATGCCAGACTCAGGCCCCCTACCCCTCCTCCAGGACATGAACAAGCTGAGTGGAGGCGGCGGGCGCAGGACTCGGGTGGAAGGGGGCCAGCTGGGGGGCGAGGAGTGGACCCGCCACGGGAGCTTTGTCAATAAGCCCACACGGGGCTGGCTGCATCCCAACGACAAAGTCATGGGACCCGGGGTTTGCTACTTGGTTCGGGTGAGTGAACATCCTCTCTTCCACTCCCTCCCAGACCCCCCCAGTTCTGCTCACTCCAGCTTGGCTGGAATCTTTTTTTTCTGCTGTTCCACAACCCCGTTTCAGTGTCCTATTTCCTAAACCTTCCCCATCCCTTCCCTGATTCTGTAGCCCCTTCCCTTCCAGCTCTGCCTGAGCCCCCTTCCTTCTTTTGACTCCCCCACCCCCACCCTGCCATGCTTAGCACAATGCCCAGCATGGCAGAAGCTCTTAGTAAGTGTTGGAATGAGTGACTTACTGATCCTCCCCTCCATTCTCCTCCCGCTTTCTGGAGTTGTCACTCCATCCCAGCCAATGCCTGTCGCTCCCCTCCAAACTCTCTCCCCAGTGCGTGAGGTCCTTCTTTCTAGCCTGCCTTTCTTTCTTTCCTTATTCCCTGTTGTCTTTCACCTTGATTGTGGGATGTAGCCACGGGAAGTGGGCAGAACCTCTCCATCTGTACTTCCCTTAGGGACCATGTGGGCAAAGTCCTAGGGCCCTTTGTGAAGGGGCTGGGGTGGGGGAGCTGCTGACCTGCTGTCCCCCCCCTCCTTCCCCTCAGTACATGGGCTGTGTGGAGGTCCTGCAGTCAATGCGTGCCCTGGACTTCAACACCCGGACTCAGGTCACCAGGTTAGTGGGGAGGGAGTGGATTGGGGGAGTCCTGGGGTTAGTGAGGCCACAGGAAAGGGAGGAGGGGGTGGTCACTTGAGTGCTGCTGGCGGGGGCTGATCTTTGGGTAGTGAAGGGGATTGAGAGAAGGCTGGTAGTGATTCTGCATCTTACTGAAAGGAGGCCCCTCTGACTCAGATCCTCCTTACCTATCCAGCCTTGGGAGTTGTGGGGAAGGTGGTAGAAGCAGCTGGCAGGTGGAGCTGGAGTAGAAAATGGGGGTAGATGGAAGGTTACTGCTGCCTTTGGGAAGGGAATGGGACATTTGGTAGCTGGAAGCGGGTGGGTCTGTACCCATTGAGGCCCTAACCCAATCAGCCAGGAAGCGGCCTCTCAGTGTCATCAAATATTAAAGGCCCTTAATTCAATCCACCACGACAAAGAGCCTGGAGTGCCCTGGGAGTCTGGCCTGGCTTTCCCCTCCCCCAGCCCTGTGGCAGCCCCAGCTGAGTGGGAGGCAGGCAGGCACTGGGTCTGAGTACCCCTCTTTCCCCAGGGAGGCCATCAGTCTGGTGTGTGAGGCTGTGCCGGGTGCTAAGGGGGCGACAAGGAGGAGAAAGGTACCTGGGGTCATTGGGGATAGGGATGCTGCTGGGAGATGTGAGGGGCAGGGGGAAGGCAAGTTTGGGGCATGTGGAAGGCCAGAAGGCAAGAGTGTGGTTTGCTGGAGCTGGGAACCCTCACCTTCTGAGACCCTGGGCCCTACCTTAGCCCTGTAGCCGCCCGCTCAGCTCTATCCTGGGAAGGAGTAACCTGAAATTTGCTGGAATGCCAATCACTCTCACCATCTCCACCAGCAGCCTCAACCTCATGGCCGCAGACTGCAAGCAGGTTGGTGGAGTTGGGCAGGGGGACTAGAAACACTGGTGGGGGTGCTAAGGGGAGATCTAGTTAGGAGGCCAAAAACTAGGAAGAGGGCTTGAGAGCAAGAGACCAGTAGGGACGGAGGAAATGAGCACATGGGATAAGGAACCCAGAGAATGAGACTGGGGTGCCAGGGTTCTGGGCCCTGAGACTGCCTGACACATGGCATTCCCTTCCTTCTTCATCCCTTGCCCTAATTCTCAGATCATCGCCAACCACCACATGCAATCTATCTCATTTGCATCCGGCGGGGATCCGGTGAGTTGGGGAACAGAGCAAAGGTGGTGGGAGAAGAGCAAGTGGCTAGGGATTGGGAAGACATTTATTAGAGAAGTGGGGGTGCTAGAATTGTGGGGATATCTGAAAAGGATGGGGTTTTAGGGATCAGGGGTAAAGTGGAGCTGTAACATTTTCTGACCTTCCTCCCCAGGACACAGCTGAGTATGTCGCCTATGTTGCCAAAGACCCTGTGAATCAGAGAGGTGAGGCATGGTGGGGAGCACTGGGTGGGTCCGGCTGTTTGAGGAGGTGAGCGGGACCTGGGGTCATCTGCACCCACTCTTACTAAGTAGAGCTAAGTAGGGGTTCCTGCTAAGGAAGATGAGGGCCCTATCTATGCCTCCTCCCGGTGGGCTCAGCTCACTGACCACCTCTGCCCTGCCCTCAGCCTGCCACATTCTGGAGTGTCCTGAAGGGCTTGCCCAGGATGTCATCAGCACCATTGGCCAGGCCTTTGAGTTGCGCTTCAAACAATACCTCAGGAACCCACCCAAACTGGTCACACCCCATGACAGGTGAGCAGGTGGGGAGGGTGTCCAGCAGCTCTTGAGCCCCAGACCAGGACTGGGAAAGGAGGGCTGCTCTTCCCACACTTGAGCTGAGAGGCTCAGGGTGGGAATAACCTGCGTGCCTCTGCTTCCCACTTCCTGCGATTCTTACATTTCCTGTGGCCCACAAGGAAAGACTCTTGAGGCCCTGCTTGCTGCAGGGCCAGCTTTTCCTCCTGTTGCTCATGGTGGAGCTGCAGTCTAGGGCCTCCAAGTTACATCTCTCTCTCTGGCTAGATGAGATTTTCTATTCCCATCCCTCTTTCTTGCCCATTTCTCTGGCAGTCTGTATTTTTCTGCCTCCAGAACCATCAAGAACTTGGGTTTGTGAGGATATCTTTTTTCCCTGAGATTACGGTCTTTCCCGCCTCAGGCCTTGAGGGATAAGCAGTGGCGCCAGGAGGGACTGAATATTTAGGAGAGGTTAAACTATTCTGTAATGCCTCCTCCCCACCTCACTACACAGTGCTTCCCTTCCTTCCTGGCAGATAGCACAGTGATCAAGGGCAAGAGCATTACTTTTTTTATTTTGAGACAGAATCTTGCTGTGTTGCCCAAGCTGGAGTTCAGTGGTGCAATTACACAGCTCACTGCAGCCTCCATATCCTGGGCTGAGTGATCCTCCCACCTCAGCCTCCTCAGTAGCTGGGACTACAGGTGCATGCCACGACACCTGGCTAAATATTATTATTTTTTTTGGTAGAGACAGTCTCACTATGTTGCCCTGTCTGGTCTTGAACTCCTAGGCTCAAACAACCCTCCCTCCTTGGCCTCTCGAAGTGTTGGGAATACGGGCATGAGCCATTGCGCCTGGCCAAGGGCATGAGCTTTAAAGTCAAACCTGAATTTAAATCTGAGTTCTGTCACCTTTTAGTTGTGAGACCTCAGGCAAATCTTTTCACCACTGATCCTCATTTGCCTCATCTGTAAAACTAGGGAAGAAAACAATACCTATCTTATGGGGTTGCCAGGAGAATGAAATGATTGTGTATATAAAACACTCAGCCTTAGGCCTAACTCATAGTAAATACCGAATACATGGCTGCCATTCCGTTCCCTCCTCCTGCCCACCACACATTTACAGCCACACCTTCACTGTCCTGTCTCTCAGGATGGCTGGCTTTGATGGCTCAGCTTGGGATGAGGAGGAGGAAGAGCCACCTGACCATCAGTACTATAATGACTTCCCGGGGAAGGAACCCCCGCTTGGGGGGGTAGTAGACATGAGGCTTCGGGAAGGAGCCACTCCACCCACTGCCCAGACCCCCAGCCACTTGGGAGCTACACTGGTAAGTTGTGTGGATGGAGGCGGGGTGGGCCTAGGGTGGGAGTGGCTGGTTAGGGCCCCTGGTCCCACCTTATTTTTATCCCTGCAGCCTATAGGACAGCCTGTTGGAGGAGATCCAGAAGTCCGCAAACAGATGCCACTTCCACCACCCTGTCCAGGTATGAAGGGAGCTGAGATGGGCGGAGCTGGGGAGTGCTGGACACAGGACCGGGATCACTGTAGAGCCTCCCTTTCCTCAGCAGGCAGAGAGCTCTTCGATGATCCCTCCTACGTCAACGTCCAGAACCTAGATAAGACCCGGCAAGCAGGGGGCGGTGCTGGGCCCCCCAATCCTGCCGTCAATGGCAGCGCGCCCCGGGACCTATTTGACATGAGTGAGTGCTCCTCTCTGCTCTCTGCATCCCTATCTTCCTACTTGGTTCTGGCATTCCCCTGCGTGTATCTGCTCTTTGCTTCCTGGCTCTCCTTCCCTGAAGTCTGGGTCTTGGGTGTGTGTTGTGCCTGCTACCTCCCCTCACCCTCTCTCTACACCTCCAGAGCCCTTTGAAGATGCCCTTCGGGTGCCTCCACCTCCCCAGTTAGTGACTATGGCTGAGCAGCTCCGAGGGGAGCCCTGGTTCCATGGGAAGCTGAGCCGGCGGGAGGCTGAGGCACTGCTGCAGCTCAACGGGGACTTCCTGGTGCGGGAGAGCACAACCACACCTGGCCAGTATGTGCTCACTGGCTTGCAGAGTGGGCAGCCCAAGCATCTGCTACTGGTGGACCCTGAGGGTGTGGTGAGTATGGCAGAGGTGTGGGTGAGGGGTGGCAGAAAGGAAGGTACAGTACCCTACGGTGTATCCTTGTTCCTTCCCTGATTGCTTTCTAGACATTTCCTGCTGGGCAGCTCTCTGTGGGCCTCTCTGCCCTTCAGGGTGTCTGGCATCTTCCTCCAGGGGCTTATCCCTTAGCCTGAACTATGTCCTTTACAGTCCTGGCACAGGGCCAGGCGTAGTGGCTCACGCCTGTAATCCCAGCACTTTGGGAGGCCGAGGTGAGCAGATCACTTGAGGTTAGGAGTTCGAGTCCAGCCTGGCCAACATGGTGAAACCTGGTGTCTACTAAAAATATAAAGATTGGTCAGGCACGGTGGCTCACGCCTGTAATCCCATCGCTTTGGGAGGCCGAGGCGGGTGAATCACCTGAGGTCAGGAGTTTGAGACCAGTCTGAACAATATGGTGAAACCCTGTCTCTACTAAAAATACAAAAACTAGCTGGGTGTGGTGGCCTGTGCCCGTAGTCCCAGCTACTTGGGAGGCTGAGGCAGGAGAATCGCTTGAACCCAGGAGGTAGAGGTTGCAATGAACCAAGATCGCGCTACTGCACTCCAGCGTGGGCGACAGAGCAAGACTCCATCTAAAAAAAAAAAAGGGATTTTCTTAATATCTTAATGAACACTGGTGAAAGGAAAATACGATATTAAAGACTGAGTTAATATGGCTGAGCATGGTGGCTCACGCCTGTAATCCCAGCACTTTGGGAG